CGGCAGTCCTCGTACGAAATTTTGTAATGACAAATTTCTTCTGTATTAGAATTAGAAAAGCAGGAGGTTCCTCTCAGAGGCGGCCTTGGGCCAGAGCTACCACGACTACAGCTTGGGGCCCAAAGCTGAGGGGGGCCCAAATTTGTTTTTTTTAAGTCTATGTATATATGTCAAAAAAAAAAAAATTAAAACAAAAGACAGAAGCCAAACCGCCTGTACTTGTATACCAAAGAGGAAGCCAATCAATCACTTATTATGTTCTCAATCTCAAAAAACGTAATGAGGAAGAAAAGTCCATTATTAATTATACAACATAATATAAAACAAAATATGGGAAAATCAAAGAGTGCTGCTAAACGAACCCTAAAATTAACTGAGTACACCCTATGATCTAAGTACACCTTAATATTTAAATTAAATTGTAAAATTAACTAAGTAAACCTTATTTAACTACCAAAAATACCCCTAGTACACCCTAATACAATCTATCACAATTCAATATATTAAAATTACATTTTTTTAAATGTAATTTAAAATTAGTTTGCTATGCCAAGTCAAATGTTTGTGTGCTTCCACCGGTTGTGAGAGTTCATTATGCTAAAATTTTGCATTGGCAACGGATAAAATCTATTTCCTATTATTAGGCTCCCCTACCGCTGTATCATGTATTGGTACATAAGAGCTCGTAGATACTTGGTCTTTGAACCTTCTCTTACTGTCTTAGCAGCTACAACACAAATAACATATAAGAAGTATGTTTTTTGTAACTTCGAACCTAGTACAATTGCAAAAGTTTGCAGAAGTTCGAGTTTTCTGAGTCTAAACTGCTCAAGAATCTTTTGAGTCTTTATTGGGATATTTGATGCTTTCTGTTTCTAAAAAATGGTGGTAGTGGTGAAGGAAGAGGAAGAAAAAAGGGCCCTAAACCCAAGAAGAGCCTGGGTGGTTGATGATGGTGGTGGTTTTTAAAGCGGGTTTGGTATTATTGGAGAGAAGAGGAGGCTTAAGAAGCAATGGAGGTTGATAAGTGTTTGTCTGCCTGTTTCCCTCATGGCTTTGCCATTTCGTGGCCTTTTCTTATTAAAATTAGAGTGTGCTTATTAAAATTACATTTGTTTTACAATTTAATATATTCTTTTTGGTCATTTTATATTAGGGTAAATTAGTAATTCAATAAATAGTTTAGTAGTAGGGTGTACTCAGTTAATTTTAGGGTTCATTTAGCAGCACTCAAATCAAAATAGAGCCTCTTAGCTACAAAAAGAAGAATAAAAAACCCTTACTGACGTATCGAACTTCTCAGAAGTTCATAAAGCAAGTAAATTTTTTTTTGTTGGTGATTCTCGTCTTCTCCAACATAGAGTTGGAAAACAAATCATCCACAAGCTAGACCAGTGCCTTTCTTTGAAAGTAATTTTTTTATTTATAGATTCATATAGAATCTAGATATATAAATTTTGTAAATTGTAATACATATCTTTATTAACTTTTTCTTCTTTATTATTTGATTCAACAGAAAACTTGGCTGGGATTCTTGTTCTTTATAATTGGAAGATTCAGGTTGAAGAAAATATGCTCAAAATCCAAGTTTTATTGTTCTTTGTTAATTAGTTTTATTGTTTTTGATTGTGTTGTGTTTATTATAAAAATTAAAAAATATTTCCTAAGAAACAACTTTCTGGAAATCTCAAGAGACAAAGAAAGAAAAAAGAAGAAGAAATTGCTCAAAGTTTAAGAGGATCTTTGAATAAATATTTTGTTAAACAAACCAATGCTTCACTTGAAAATTTAGATGAAGATTTACCAAATGAATATGAACAACCAATTCAATTGGAAGAATTAGCAGAAAGTGAGAATGATGTGAATGAAGAAATTGGTGATCTAGATAAAAATGAAAATATTGGTGAACCTTGCCATGAAAATGAATGTCCTGAAACAAGATTTGATTTGAACATTTTTTATCCACGAGTTTGGGATAATCTTGATGCAAAAATGAGAGATTTATTTGTAGAAAAGGGTCCCATAAGAGAAACTAATCTCAAATTCCCCATGGACGAACACAATAGACATTTTTCCTCAAATTATTATCTTCGTACGTTACCAAATGGGGAAACTAAGGATCGAAAATGGCTAGTATACTCAAAGGAGTTGGATAAGTGTTTTGTTTCTGTTGTAAGTTGTTTAAAATAATGAATTCTAGAAGTCAATTAATGAGTGAAGGAACTAGAAATTGGAAACATCTTGGTGAGAAGCTTAAACAACATGAAAGTAGTATTGAACACCTCACTAACTTGAGGTCTTGTATTGAATTGCAAATCAGATTGAAAACACATCAAACAATTTACAAGAGCTAATCAAGAAAGATACACTACACTGGAAAAATGTTATTGTCATAATCATTGCTGTTGTGAAAGCTATACATAATTTGGCTTTTCGTGGAACAAATGAAAAAATTTATGAAGATGGTAATGGTACATTTTAGGCCTACTTGAAATGATTGCAGAGTTTGATCCAGTAATGCAACACCATTTTCGACTCATTCAAGATAAGAAGATTCATTATCATTATCTTAGCCATAAAATTCAAAATGAGTTGATAGCTATTTTAGCATCAAATGTTAAACATGCAATCATTGAAAAAATAAAAACGGCTAAGTATTTTTCAATCATTCTTGATTGTACTCCTGATGCAAGTCACAAAGAACAAATGACTTTAATATTGAGGTGTGTAGATGTTTCAAGTACTCTAATAAATATAGAAGAGTACTTTTTAGAGTTTCTAAATGTGGAAGATACATTGGGATTATGAATTTTTAATGAATTTCAAAATGTAATCAAGTCCCTTACACTTAATATTGATGATGTGAGAGGACAAGGTTATGATAATGGCTCTAATATGAAAGGGAAAAATCTAGGTGTACAAAAAAGATTACTTGATATAAATCTGAGAGGATTTTACATGCCATGTGGTTCTCATTGTCTCAACTTTATAGTTTGAAATATGGCCAACTCATGTGTTAAAGCAAAATCTTTTTTTGGAGCATGTCAATGCATATATACGGCATTCTCTAATTCAACAAAGTGATGGAATGTGTTACTTGATTACATAGATGGTTTGACTTTGAAATCATTGTCAACTACACGTTGGAAAATTCACATTGAAAGTGTCAAAGCAATAAAATCTCAAGCTTCCCAAATCAGAGAAGCTTGATTTAAATTAATAGAAATTAGTGAAGATGCCAAATTGAGTAGGGATGCTCAAAGTTTAACATCAGGAGAGCTTTCAAGTTTTGAATTTATATTAAGTTTGGTTATTTGGCATGACATTTTGCACAAGATTAACTTAGTTAGTAAAAAATTACAATATGAAGACATGCGTCTTAATGCTACTATAAGACAATTAGAAGGACTTGTTTTATTTTTTGAAAACTATAATATAAATGGGTTTATTTCTGCCATGATTGATGCTAAAGAAATTTCCCTTTTGGGTTAAGTGCTTCCACTATATTTTTATATATATTTTTTCCTCTTTTGGGTTAGCGAATAAAGTGACTTGGTGTGAGAAATGTTCATATATGAGTACACCGTCACCTATCTTTTTGCTAATTCTTGAATGCAATCATTCATCAGAAACATTTCCTCTGAAGGTTTCTCATTTTTACTAAGGGAGTTGTCCCCCTGAAGGTTTCTATAAGCTCAATGTTGATGGAGCTACTGAAAATGCAACAGGCTTGCGTAATATAGGTGCAGTTGTTTGAAATGATTATGGAGTTTTTGCCCTAGCCATGCAAAGCCCTTACAGGATTTCCATTTTAGCTACAGAATTACAAGCGATTTATAGAGGAGTTTTATTTGCTGCAGGTGTTGGTTTTTCCCTCTCCTTATAGAAACTTACTCTTCTAAGGCTGTTATGATGATTAATTTAGGGGAGATTATTTGGGCTACTGTCGGCAACATTATGGATGATGTGAGAGACTTGCTCATGCAGTTTTCTTTAAAGGAAATCCAATTTCGACCTAGGGAGTGTAACAAAGTGGCTCATGCTATTTCCTATTTTGCTTTACACGAATAAGGTCCTTATTATTGGTTAGAAGAAGGCCTTGTGTGGCTAGTGAATTGTATTATTGATGACCTTATTGTAACCAATGCATCCGGTTAATGAAATTTACTTCTCTTAGATTAAAAAAAAAAGAAGTGGGCCAAAACCAATAGTTAATGTAGTATTAACTAATTAACCGGTTAGTGCTTGAGCCACTGAATAAAACAAGAACCCTCTAATTATTTTTTAAAATTTTGTGAAGGGCCCCTTGTAGTGTGAAATCCTAGTTCCGCCACTGGATATCATTGATATATAATACGATAGAAAAACATAATGATACCGGATATATTCAATCTAAAACATCCTTAATCCTTTATTTATTATCGTTCTTTGTTATGAATTAATTACTTTATACTCAAGTAACTTAAGTAATTAACTTACCATACAATATATAAAGTGTGAACTATAAAAATTATGGTGTGTTTATTCTTCTTTTATTAACTACTATGTGTTTTTTTTAAAAGTCATAGTGCTTGTGAGCTTGTAATATAGTCATTTTAAATTACTCAAACTCATTATGCAATGAATTTCATTAAGTTCTTTCTTGTCAAAATAATAGATACAATTGACTAAATGAACATCTTCTAAAGTTTCATTAATAACTTCCTATATTTCTATCCAATTTTTACCAACATTGATAACTTGTCAATATCCATTGATATTTTTGGACCATCGATATTTACTACCTTGTTTCTTACTACCATCCGCTCACAAATCTCCCAACATCTCACGACAAGGCCAAGTTTCGTTATTTGAAAATTTGAGGCCCAAACAATGTGAGATTTGATGATTGAGCTAGCTCTTTTAGCTAGTTTAGGAGGTAACAAATTAACCATTCAACCATCAACCCTCCTTTATATGTATCCTAACAAGGTACAAACCAGAAACTGAACCCGCTTCTCTCTCTCCCTCTCTATTTACCTCTCATCCTTTGTAGGTGTACGGTCGGGTTGGTTTTGGCAAAAACCACGTTTTACGTAAACAACTGTTGAATATGTCCACCGACCATCTGAAAACCCCATGCATGCATGCATCCATCTCTGGCCCCATTGCCAACAACATTTGCAAGGAGGCCATCTCTCTCCTGCAAGGACGATAACCTTGTTTCTTTGCATTGCTAACAAAAAATCACCATCCTCTCTCATACAAAACGATATTACTCTTGATCCAGATATATAATGAAAAAACTGAAGGGTGGTGATCAAATGAATCGAATGTTAATGTTATTGATCAAGGTTTCATATATTTGATGCTTTTGGGAGTTGGTTTCCAATATGGCTGTATACAATAATGCAGGTGCCCCAGGAGGTTCGTTCATATGTCTTATCTCTTGCTTTTTATTCGTATCCATCGTCGCCGGAGGCGGGTGCCTTCTG